CTTGTTTTTGTCTTGGCGGATCATTAACCCGGATTTGTTTGACCCCGTCCAACCTGCTCACTTCAATTCTGAAGCAACCGTCATCATGGAACAGTCTGCTTGCCAGCAGAGCCTTGTGCCGTCTCAGGTTAAACCTCTTTCCGTTGGGGCACTTGCAGGGTTCTTTTTCCAGGGCGCGGGTGGTTTCGTGCATTGCTTGCGGTAGGACTGTTCGGGGTCCATTGGCACACATGCTGTTGTCCTGCGTCCTTGCAACTTTTTTGTAGGTTGGTTTGACTCAGATTGTTGAGGAACGGGGCCAGCTGCTTGCTTGCTTCCACCCAACATCTGGAGGTTGTTACTTCCCACGGTGTGGGCCAGGGAAACCATCACACCATCAAACCTAGGCATTCTACTTGATACCCTTGGCACGATGCCCTTCCAGCTTCTTATGCCACGTCGAGGGATAGGGCATCCGGATCCCGATTGCACGACTGGCCTGGTAATTTCGATTCTGGACCCTGAACCTTGATCTTGCAGCCTCTGCAGCAACGGCGCCAGTTCACACTCTTACAGCTTACTTACTCTTCGAAGTGCTGTTTGCACGAACATTGCTGATGTGACGAACACCATCATTGGCACCAATACCAGTCCCACTGTTAATTGTCATTATTCCAAGTGTCAACTTCTACCATCTGCCCGATGCTTTCTCTAACCCTGTATAGGGGCAGCCAAAATCCTAAACCCTTTTCCCTGAATCCGAAACAGACTCTACATCGGACGATCATGGCTTCTCAATCTCGCGGCGCCCCAAAGAAGCGGTAAGCAACAGTAGACGCAATAAGGGCCTTGAATCATCGAAGCAGAAACGAGGGGTGTACTCAGTGTACTCTGCTATAATTACAATACGGAACCCGACAGAATACTAGTAGCAGTTATGCAAGCGTCGATGTCGCTTAGTGGTTGTATTGGGTTTAGGGTTCATGTTAGGGTTCATGGTAAAATTAAGCTACGGGGCATAAACGCTGACGCCCTAACTGAGAGCCTCAAAATCTCAAACCGGCTCAAACCCCAACTCTAAAGACAAGCCGATAGCCAAGGTTTGAAACACCTGACCGAAAACCCCTCTCTTGCTCTCTCTTGTAGACTCGGAACCGCGCATCCCAAAAAGACTGCAAACTCACTCTCCCCTTCTACCTATCCGATAAACTCAACAGCCTGCCAAGGAGGTTCTCCTTCTCGGCTCTGTGGCACGAGGCACACAACTCGGCCTTCGTAGGCTCTACACAGGCTGCGTAGTAGGATTGAAAGCGTTTGATGATGCAGGGTTGAGGGTTGCGACGGTCTTGGGCTGGTGCTTCAACACTGGAGCTGGAAGGGCATCAGATCTGCACTGTCCATACATCTCCACTCCATCGACATTCTTACATTTAAGCCACGAACCAGAAAAACTCTGAACCTATCTCGCGATCGTGTCTTTCCCCCGAGCCTCGTTTCGGAGCAATCAGTAATACGATTGATGTCTAGCAAGACCAGAACACTGATGATCTTCGAGTCACTGGTGGCACAAGGATGCATCTCTCTTGAAATGCTTATGGGGGCCCTCCCGCTGCATGGACCGAAAGCACGCCATGGACAAGGACAGTCAAGGCAGCCGGGGGACAGGATGCTGCTCCTGCTTCCTCGTCCTGGAGAGCTGCTTGGATTTGGGATCAGTTTCTTAGGGGCTGAGTACCCCAGCCCAAAAAAGCTAACCTTTTCAATTATGGTAGGATTATATAAGCCCCAAAAGGTTAAAGGTTACCTACTCAGCCACCAAGGTTCTCTGTTGCTTTGAAAAGGCTGCTTAGAGTGAAAGCTTACTTGATCCATTTGGGAAGGTCGGGCCTGCGAAGTCCTGTGAGAACGGTTCGAAAATCTTCGAAACGTTTGAAACAGTGGCTTCCAACAACTTTGCGACCCGGAACTTGGTTCAGGACGTGTTCGGCAAGACACGGCTCAGAAACACAATCCAAACGGGGATCTAAACTGCAGACCAACCACGCCACATGACATAAGCGAAGCCTTGCAGCCACAACAGAGGATTGACTTTCTCAGAAGAAGCGGCAGAAACGTCCACATGTGACGAGAAACCTGGTGCCAAGTTTCCTGCAATGGCTCGTGAACTGCTCCAAGCTGGGCTCAGACTTTTCACCACAGGTGAAGGAAAAATGCTTCGAAGCGAGGTACGAAAATCTGCGATTGGCTTGTCCTTTTTGTTGCATCGACCTTGGGAATTTCGCTTGTCCGTCAACAATGCCGGCCCTGACGTCTTGCACGATCAGGCTGAACGTCCTGAGCCCTGAAGACAGGACAGTTTTGTTAGCACCATCAGTATCATCATCTTCGTCACATCCTTATCACCATCAAGACCGTCCTCCTCCCTCTGATCATCAGCCTTGTCCGTCTTGAACCGCTTTCTGTTGCGGCCTCTGGCGTCCTAGTCCAGCGAGTGTAAGTTTCAGCTTGTGGGCTTCAGAGCTAAATAAACAACAGGAAAAGGGCCTGAAACACTAACCCAAAAAACTCTACAACCCGCTCTCTCCAGACCCGGAAAAACCCTATATAAGTGCCAGGCCCTGAGGTTCGAAATTGCAAACAGACCCAAGGACATCTCTGGGGGGAGAACATGGGGCCTGTATACCAAGCAGCCATGGTACACAGAGAATGGGCTTTGGGGTCAATTCTCTCAGAAATCTAGAGGGGCTGCAGAAGGATACTGTTCCCATTTTATTCCGACCCCACATTAGGCGTGAGAAGCACCCCACAGACTAGAGCCCCTTGGAGGTCCTCACGATTCACTACGAGGCTGCGGTCAAAGAAGACGTAGAGCTCCCGTGTTCTGGGATCCATCTGAACCTCCTCAAACTCCACCTTCTCAGCTTTTGTTGCGGTCTGTAGTAGCTTTATTGCAGCCACTGCATGGGTCTCAGGCGTAGCTTCATGAGGACGTCGCAGCTTTAGGTTTTACCAGCATGCTCGTTTCGTAGCGAGAGCTTCCGCGTGTGGGGATGCGACACATTGATACCAGACCAAAAAACATGACTGTTATATATATATATATATATGTGGAGGGGTCCTTTATGTATAATGTGACCCGTTGGTTTGTGCTATGTTTGTATAGCCTAATTAGCTGAACTTAAGGCATGTGCTGAGGAACTATCGCGTCACCAACCCTACTGAAATGGGTAGGTGCCAGGGGAACCCTTCATGACAGTACCTGTGACACCTTGAAATCCAACCCGCCTCCACAGCAAGCTCCAAAATGACCCTGATGTGTCCCTTCCCCCCACCCCAAGAAAGAGGGTATGGGACTGCACACTTTCTGATTGACTTGAGACATCGTAAGACGGATAGTGCGAATGATCCGCACCGCAAGAGTTGGATCGTGCGAATGATCCGAACCTGAACCGTTAAGCTTGGTACACTTCTTGATTTGTGCACTGGCCCTCAGAATCCTACTCACACATCCTCCGCAAGCTCTTTTGAGATTGCACCCGGACCTGGTCTACAAGCTGTTGACCAGCTGACCGACTGAATCCGAGCCCGGCCCATTGCCATAGTACTCAATCAGAAAACAAATGGTAATGGTGGATCGAGACATACGGGGCTCGCCCATGCCCCAAAGACCGATAAGCACTCGCTCTGGCTTTTCGCAGACTTGAGGGATGTCTGCTTCGCTACACCTTAGCGATACCTTCGCAAAACCAAAATTCTATAGAGGAAGGACATGGCCCAATCTGCAAACATCAAATGTAGACACACCTCTATGGCATCACAGCACATCCAAACCAGCCATTTTCCATGTAGACGCTCCATTTCAGAAGCACCCGCGAAAGACACACATCAGTGGCATCACATGACAGCACATCCACACCATCCCCTCATGTAGACGCTCGAACACATTCTACCATAGCAGTCTTCCAAATCAGGCATTCCCCATGTGGAATCTCGAGCAGACCCTGTCATATGGCCTGAGAACCAGTCGAGCTTTCCTTTCCACAACTGCGTAACTACTCGCTGGGACTCAAAGACCCTAAACGGCGGTCGGCACAGCAACAGCAAAGCAGAACTGTCAAGTGGAATCGCGGGTCTGCACAGCGATGCCGCATATATATACGGCAGCAGCACAAGTCCTCATATAGTCTTGGACATTTGGAGCTCCTCCAATGTGAGTCAAGTGGCTGTGTCAAGATTGCGACCATGCCTGCCACGTCCGGAAGCGCATGTCCACAATATAAACAATGGGCATCATGACGAGAACAACGGAAGCACATCCTTTGACTCTCTGCAGGCGATAGTCGGTCTGCTGGTCCGTCGAGGTCACGAAAATATCGATCCATGTCTCATGGAGAACAGCCGATCACGCAAGCTGGATATTCATAGGGCATAGATGTTACACTTGCTCAGACTATCCGTGTTCAGCCTCGGCGTAGATTAGAGTCAATGGTGCCCTGCCTTCGCAGACTGTGTTCTCTCTCCATTGTGAACACAGTGCGCTTCTTACGACAGGCATCAGTTCTCGGAGGCTTTGCAGCAGGGCGCTTCTTGATCCATGCGCTGACTTTCGCAGCTTCCTCCACTCTAGCTTCATGGAGAGGAACCTTTGCTTTGGCAACCACGTCAATTTCGACATTGGTTTTACACCAAGCAGTCCATGTTACATCTCTCCACATGGAGAAAGCTACAAGCCGTACGAGCAGCAGCTGGCTTGACATCTGACTCAAAGTCGGATGCTTGCGTGCAATAAAATGCGGCAATTGCTTCGCATATTTGAGCACCCGCAGTTTCAAAATTAATGTGCTCTGATGCATTTGCTGCGTCTGAGCAAACCAAGTCTTAATTTCAGCATGTAAGGCCTCATTGGAGCTTGTTCCCGAAGGAAGCAGCACCAGGTCCGATCGTCCTGGCAGCAAGCCGGAAAGCTACAATAATGTTGCTGTGTTGCTGCACATCTAATTAAGACTGCATCTGCTATGCCGCTATACATTCCAAATCAGGACCGGACGCACTTCATGTCGCCATCGAACGTTGTTAAATAGCCACTCGACTCTTTCCGGTGAGCAAGAGCACCAGAGAATATGACTGACCTTCTGGTTGGAACCGGTTACTCTTCTGCTCATATCCTCTTGGTGGCAGGCGGATAACGCGGCCAGTGCTTCGATGTACTCCAAGCGGCTTCGGAAGGGCACCGACGAGTCCAAGTTGCGCACAATGTCTTCCGCCTTACTCTTCACCATGGCACTGGATTCAATCAGATCCCTTGTGCGAACTTCCTTGTGAACTAGATGCCTGTCTTCGTGCCCATGATAAAAAGCACCGAAGGCGTCTGCACGGGCACCGTCGTCAATCGCAAGGAACTTGTGGAGAAGCTTGCGAAGAAACAATACGCCAGGTGTCTTCTTCCTCCACGTCGCATACCTGGTTGGCAATGGGCAGGAAGCTTTATCTACTGCAGACGTTATCCCGGAGTGTTCGCACCTATCCTGGAAAGCCTATCCTTCCCTTCTTTACTATCGGCCACGCTGCTCATACACGATGGAAAGATGGATAGGATCAAGGCACAGACATTGCAGGTTCGGCATGATGCGGCGCATTTCTGAGTACAACTTCAGGGAGGCACTGTCAGATGCCAGACATTGGACCTGATGAAGTCCCTTTGCTGGCAGGCTGTTTGCTAATGCATTGGCGACCTCTTCGGCTCTCTCGTTGTGAACCGCCTCCATTGCTAAAACCGCACTAGTGCGACCGCGTGCCGTAAGGACACGCCGTAATGCGATCGCATCGCCAAATGGTGCTGCGTTTCGCTTTGCAGCATTGCAGCGGTAACTCTCTTGACCCATTACTGCCATGCAGCATTTGATTGTCGCATCCAGTGAGATATATTCAAACTCACGTGAGTGGCAGAAGAATGCAAGCATGCGCTGCTGCATTTTCTGTACGGGCGGGCACGTGAAGACGTCCTCTACCAATGGCCACCAATAAGCGGGGTGTGTCGGAAGCAAAGACACCAGCTCGGAGCCATTAGACAGCAGAGTTGCCACTATTCGAGCTCGGGCCTCAGTGTAAACTCATTACGGATTCGTATCATTTAGAAGAAGAATTACAGAATTTCAAAACGTGTCTCATGCCTGTTGAAGCCCAGCTGCTGCCTTGCACTTCCCGTGATTCAAGATAAACTCACGATACACCATATCCGCAAAACCGCTTGTGTAGTACAGATTTCGTACTCTCCGAACCTGCATGTCGGAACCAATGTCTTCGAGGCTCCTGTAAAGAGGGCCGTTTTCTGTAAGAACGAGCCGAACCCAACGGTCCAGATCATTGCCCTTCATTGGGGCGGCGCCAATAGAAGCGGACATGATACCAGCACTACGCTGAAGATAATTTTTTCCAGGTATTCCTCTTAACTGGTCATTGTCGAAGATGGCACTCACAACCTTCAACTGCTTTGTTCCTGAGCAAACAAATTGTCGATCTCGCGTGTGATACGCCCGGATATGGCTTCTCACCCTAGATGCCTTTTGAAAGCTGCGAAACGGACACATTGGACATCGCTTGTACTTCGAGTTCGCCAAGCTTTCGCGGACTTCTTCTTCCAACAAGTTCAAGAGCGTGTCGGCCACCCTGATGACCGCATCGTCATCGTGGACTTCTGTGTCACCACACTCATCCTCTGACAGTTGGTCCTGTGGTGAGCACGCAGTCTCTTGAGTCAGCCCTGCTATCCAATCGTCATCGACAGCGCCGGCCCGTAGATCGAGCAGAACTGCATGAGCGTCTGTAGCTTCTGCTCCTGTGACTTTGCGATTGTCGTCTTTCTGAAATAGCCGAAAGGTAACCAAGGAAGGTGCGTCGACGGCGTCTTCGGCAAAACGAATCAACTCTTGCAACGTGATCCTCACTTCTCTGCCTTTGTCCGCAATCGTCACCTCGTCCACATTATGCGCGACACAGGACACGCAATGCGGTCGCCCGTCATTCTCGAAATGAAGAAGATACTTACCACCAGATTCCACTTGTAGCCCCAATGCAGGCACTGCTTGAATTTTCAGTGCTTCGAAGGTAGTCTTGTACGATCTCGATCTCAAGCGCTTGGCATCCCGATTCTCGCCGCAGTCTTTCTGCGAGTATTGCAGGATCTCATCTGTCAAGGCAGGAAATGCTTTCGATAACCCCATGCAGATACAGTTGCCAGCTTCTGTCAGGGCTTTCAACCCGTCTGCAACTGGCACAGAAGATGCATCAGCGAAGCAAAGCTCGGCAAACCAACGATGCTTCTTTTCCACGATCGTCACATCGAAACCTGTACGGCTCTTGATTTCTCTCTGAAAATGCGCACACAGTTCCTGGACACTCATCTCGGTATCCATGCCCATGAGCCTCATGCCATCAAAATGGAGGGACAAATGCTTCGGGTTCAGTCGCGCGGCAGCCTCTGTCCACGCCTCAAGTATGTAGTCTTCCACTGCGGCATAGAGGTAATGAAGAGTTGATGCCTCTGGGTTTTTCTTCGATGGCATAGTCTTGACGATGTCGTACACCTGCTGAATGTGCGAACAAGCTAGCCATCTGAGACACAGCGAAAGTTGCCGGAACTCCTTCAAGAACTCATTCTGCGCGAGCATTATTGGCGGGTTTCCTCCAAATAAGCATGTGTGCAGGATGTGTTTCCCAGTCTTCAGACTCACCTGCAGAGACTGTTCGCAAATATCCGCCCGCTCAGCAACACAGCGCCGGAGCAAGGCCTTGAGCTTTGCCGGAATAGAATCAGCTCCTAGTCGCTCGACTAGCTGATGCAGGATGACAAACACAGAGTTTTGGATATCGAAATCCACAGTGTCTGGGCACATGACACGCAAAAGCCTTCTGCTGCAGCTTTGCGCACCGTGACCTTTGACATATGCCCGACTGCGTATGACATTCTGGAAGTCTCGGTCATAAGCGAAAGACGACGTGATCGGTTCCATGGGTTTCTTTGTAGTTTTTCGCCGTTTTGCCGGCGAGGCTGCAACTGAGCCTGGAGCACTTGAACTTGAGGCACCAGGACTTCTACAAATCTTTCGCAGCATGTCCTCGTAGTCAGAGAGTTTGTTTCGAGCATGAGTCAGTTGCTCCCTCCACTCCGTATCCTTGTCGGCAGCAGCCTTTCTGCCACGCTTTTTCGCGTCGGACTGCAGCATTTTGTCCATACAAGCGAGGAGCATGATGCTGTTGGCTTCACGATCCTCACACCCAGTTGCATATCTCTGGACTGCGCCAAGATCATGGATTTCCACATGCTCAGTTTCCACTTTCAGAACACCGACGGGCACGATCTCTCGCAGGATGCCAGTTGCTTCCATACGCAGCAAACAACCGTCTTTAAACTTTCCATGGTCGACACCCGGGATCAACAAGGAATGCTCCAGGAGTGCTTTCCACATTGTATCTCTGTCCATGTGACACGGGTGCTCTGCAGGTAACTTGACATAAGCAAACATACCTTTGGTCAAGACACACTTCATTCGCGCCAGGCATTCATCCCGAATGGTAAGCGCCACGTTGGTCAACTGTTTGACAAGAGGCGGCACTCCACCTTCCTGACTGTCTTGGCTAGACGCGTCGAGCGGTATGTGGAACTGGACGGACTTCTTCTCACCGGATCGCACTTTCCTTTTCAGGCCGCAAGCCTCTCTCATGCAGTCCTCCGTCAAGGGCTCGGCAGCATAGTTCTCAATGAGAGCAACGCACTGGTCTCGGGTTGTGATCTCTTCGAACCCATGTTGAATAAGAAGGGCTGCAGCAATAGATGCAGGCGAACGCAGAAACTGCTTCAGAGTATCATCCTTTACAAAGTACCCATCAAAAGCAGCATCTGGATATTCAGACTCAATGATATCTGCACCAATGAACCTAGCCATAGGTTTCCAGACCAGCGAGCGGCGAAGAATCGATGGAAAGTTGTTCTCTGTAATCCCGAGGAACCGCAAGAACTTATTCACTTCGAAGCGCTTCCAGCCCACAAGCTCAATCATCCGTGTCATCATACCATAAGGACGCCTGCCAGCAATGCCGTCTGCAGACATGGTTTTCTTGTAGAGGTCTTCCCTCATCCTTTTGGAAGTTTCGGGAGCCTCTTGTGCCGTTAACATAAAACAACCGGCGGACTGCTCCACTTGTTTGCGCATTTCGTTCTCGTCGAACCATATGTTCGGGTCAATGAACTTATGGTTCGGCGCGTAGACTGCGTCTAGGTGGGCACTGAAAAGTGATTGACCGACGCCTGTGATCACAGGGACAGAGTTGTGATACAACCAGTACATTTCAGAAATTCACAAATAGGAAGCAGTACGTCTAAGACAGCAAAGCGGCCTCCAGGACTAATACCAATGAAGCATCGCACCACATTCTCGCCACGCTTTGCCAAAGCAATAGCCGCCTGTGTGCACGTGAAAACCTGCTCACGACACGAATGACCTGAAAACGAAAGGTCGACGAACTACAACAATATCAAAAACCTCTGAAGTTCCGGCCAGACGCATCGTTGTTCAGCCAGAAGGTCTGCTTGTAGAACTTGAGAAGCCTTTCTTGGGCGGACTTCATGACTGGATCGCCCAGGCGGGCTTGCAGTAGTGGGTGCGCGATATGCAAATAAAGATTATTTTTTGGACTGTCTTCGACAAAGGTCACAGGCTGATCGGAGCTTCTGTCGAAAACAACGGCGCAGTCTTCATACGCACACCCCGACTGTTTGGTCTGCGGCATATCACACCACTCAACCACAAGGTGAAAGATTTTGTCTTCCAATAAAGCTCTCTGCATAGAGTATCCGACCCGGGAAAGTGCGTCTGCAAGTATGACATTCACTGGAACGCTGTCCACATGCGTATTCGCGTCAGACCCCTGATCCTCATCAGCAGGTTCCTCTGCTGCCGCAGCTCTAGATGTTGACCGTGCTAGCTTGGCTTTCTTTGCCTTGCAACTCCGAAGAGCAGTTGATTCGAGTTCTTGAAGCAACGCCTTAGAACTTCCATTGAAGTTTCCACAGAGGATAGAAAGTTCCTCCAAGACTTGGTCGTCATTTTGCATGCGACGGGGACGTACACTTCGAAAGAAGCCCTCCAGCACCAGAATGAACTTCTTGCATCTGGACAGAGTTGCCTGCGGCGGAATACCTCGATGAACGGCAAAGGCTCCATTCCGGTAAAAGTAGATATCTCCTTGATGACACCGCATGTGGTCCTCACCCTCAATGATCCACAGGAGTAGAACATGCTCACGCACATGCATGTCGGTAAGCCTGAGCCTGTAGACTGACAAAGCTGCAACTGCCAACTTAATGACATCATCATCCACATCGGGGAACTTTTGTCGCGCAAACCGACGCAATCGATCCACACTTTCCCTGATGCTCAGCTCGCCAGATTTTGAAAAGGGCACCGCACGTGTGAGAGACTTGCTGCACGCCAACTGAAGCCTTTCAAATTCTGCGTCGAAGTTGGAGCAGGTTGTGGACGCACCTGGTAGCTGTCGGCGTCGTCTGGCTTTTTGTAGAAGTTCTGATGGTTTGTCCTGTAGGTGGAGCTCTAACTCCTGTGACACTCCCATTGGCGCATCTGCATTGCACGGGTCAGGTGGATCCTCATTTTCTGCGCCTGCGTCTTCCACCTGAAGGCAGCTGCCAACAGCACCAAGAGCAGCGACACCATTATGTCGAGCGTCATCATCGTGGTCACCCACTTCTGGGAAACCATGACTGGATGCTTGGCTTGCACCTCCAACAACATCGTCCGCAAACTGGTCGTCTTGCGAAAAAACCGAGCCTCCGCAGTAGTCTCCAAGGGTTCCGTGGCATCGCGGACAAGGTCTCCAGGGCATGGTACCGACGTGAGAACTACATACCCAAGTGTAACAGCGAGGACAGACGTGCCATCGAGGAAACAACAGATTGTGATTCTCATTGCAAATAGAGCAGCGAATGACTGCGTTGCGAAGCACAGGAGACGGCGTAGGTCGCAAATGGAAGCCGACTACATCGGCGTCACGTTGACGTGCACAGGCCCAGACAAACAATCTCGACAGCGGCGGTGCAGCCTCCATTTCGTTATCTCGGATCCTGGCTGTAGCAACTTTAGCACCGTTGAGCTCCACAGTAAAAGTGCTTTGAGTCCAGCGCAGGTGGAAGAAGTTGGGTGCATCAGGAATAATGCGATGTCGACTGGCTCGGAGATCGGGAGTAACTGGCAGTGTGTTCAATCCGAAAGACCACATAACCTCCGGCGTGTGAAGGTTGTCGATTCGAAAGTACGAACGACTCTCTCCCCTGGCATCTTTGGCACCGATGTAGAGACCTTTGATTGTCAACGGCACTCTGAGTTCGAAGGACGCAGCTCCCATGAGGGGGCTGAGAGACATAAACCCAGTCAGAAAGTTATAGGGACCAGGCACTGGCTGAGGAATACTCTCCGCCGTCCAGTTCAGTCTCGCTTGCTGTGGAATAACATGCAGCATTGCTAACTGAGTCAGATTGAAGCAAATGCTGCTTGCGTAATCCCACCGGGTAGAGATAAGCCGAAGATGTCGAGTGATGTTGAGATCGGGCACGTCGACATTGAGAAGTAAACCTTCCCACTGAACAGGATCCCTGACGGCTCTCAGCATCTCTCTTGAAACCGCAGCCAGAGTTCGAAGATAATCCCAAGAGAAATAGTGAGTAGGTAAACGTCTCAGAATCTCGACGGGCATGGAGCCACCGATCCTGTCGGCATGCGCATGCTGCACCATCGTAGGTTTATTGGTCTGAGAGAATGCCACTGCTTCCACAAGAGAAGACCCGTAAGCAGACGTCAACTTGCCCTGCTGCTCAGTAAGATCGTCGGCTGCAGTCGATGCCCCTGGCACAATCCGGGGTTCCCTAATGACATCGAAAGAAAGGCTCATGTGGTTCTGAAAGATCATACGGGCATGATATAGTCCATACTCCCATTTGCGTTTGGATAGCTGGGGAGAAAGCGGCAAAGGGATTTGGTCCAGGAGATCCGGCTCGGACGCTAATAGACCGGCCCATTTGTGCACAGTGTAATAATAAGCTGCAACGCGCTTCGCATGCCTGATCACGACCTTAGCATGTGTATGCACTGGTAGGCGCGACAGTACCCGGAATCGTTGCGCGCATAGAGAGAACCGAGACTGCCAAGCACGGTCGTTGCTGAGCAAAGACAGAGAGCTTGGAACGAAGCGCCATAGATCGGGATCTTCGAGGACTCTGCTAATGTAGCCCAGCATCAACTCCCGGAGCTGTAGAGTTCTCGATTGAATTTTTGTTACAGTTGGACTAGCCTCCATGTCTACGCTAATGGAATCCCACCAACTCTTCTGAACCGAATGGAAAAATCGCGAACAAGAGGATGCTTCTGAGCACTTGTCGACTTCGTCACATGAGTCGGCAGAGCCTCCTTTCACGTCACGCCAGCAGGCCATCATGGCTTCGGTTTCTGCCTCCATGATCGGGACGTCATCCACGAAAGGCTCCGGAAAGTTGTCCGGGTGGCAGCAGACGATAAACATACGGGAAACTGTTAAGTCGTAATACTTCTCCAATATGTATCGATACGCATTCAGCTGAAGCCTGTACTGGATTCCAGAACAATCTCGCAAATCACTCAGAGGCTCCTTCATCCGGGAAACTGAACTGAATTTCATTCGCAAGCCTGCCGATCGCTTCCAGTCTACGAGAATGAAAGTTCCATCAGACATTCTTGCGCAAAAATCTATGGATCCGGCCAAGTTTTCTTGATCAGCATAAATCACCCATTCTGTTCGCCACGCTGCAATGCTTGTACCCAAGTTAGACATGAAGTTCTGGAACATGCGGAATTCTGGAGAAGCCTTCGGAACATCAACGCCGTTCAAATGCGCTTCAAAAAGAGCGTGCATCCATGTTCCATAGTGAGCAGCTTCAGCTGCATTTCGTTTCCACATCTCTTTGATTTCTTCAGGCGATAAGCAAAGCTGCACGATATCATTCTTGAGGTGGTTACGCTGCCATAGCTCTCGTAAGATAGAACTGATTTGCATCTCATCTCTCGGCTGAGCTGAATACAGCACAATCAATCTTGAATCGGCCAAGCCGAGTCGACAAATGGAGGCGGGGTTGACTTCACATCTGAGATACCCCTCTCGGGGCCAACGATAACCGGACATCATGGACTGTATGATGGCTTCCGCGTCGAACTCTTTGCAAAAGAAATGAATCATACCTGTCACAGAGCCGTTCGTTGGCTTGCCGCCGACGTAGTAAGTGTGACTGTCCGGCTCAAAGAATACTCGCATGTCTCTGACACGCGGGTGAAAGTACTTCAACACATCCACATTGTCTGATGCACTAGGGGAGTACCTCAGCGGTGAGTCTGGAAAGACAGGTGTGAAGGGTACAAGCCTCTGCGGGAGCGCTGAGGTCAAGGAGGCCAAGCACCTAGCTTTCTTGGCATACGCTTCCAACCTTGATCTTTCCATTCGCTTTCTCTGCACGGCATCTACGGGCGTCGACCCTCCAAGTCGGTCGACTGCACGCTGATACCAACCAGGACTTACCTTCCAGAATCCGGACTCGTCCGAATCAGAATCCACTTCTCTTGCGTTCGTCTTCACATCGTGCTGGGTTGTTCGAGTGACTGGATCTATATCGGTCACATGCGGCCCCAGCAGATTCTCAAACATCGGTTGAATCATAGCACCCGAGCGCAAAAGCTGTTGAGTGGCTTCAGCAGCACACACCTCCATCTGCTTGCCACCACAATCGTCGCCCACACCTTGGCTATCATAGGTTTGGTTACGGGTAAAAGCATAGAACCATAACTTGCTGCTGCGGATACGTATTAATGCATGAATTTCAAGCAAGAGACTCTCTGTCTCGATGGAGTGGAGCCCCAAGACTTCTCGGGTTAAATGGAAAATGCTTTCGAATCGGTCTGAGCGCAGATCTGCGACGTCGCATGCAATGTTGTTGCACGTGCGGTGGTCTCGGGAGAGCACACACTCGCCATCTGCGTAGCACCTCAAGCCAACGAAGTGGTTATCACGATAGAGAATGTACTTGCCTTCTGTCAAATCCTCGATCAGAGTATTCTTGGGCAACGGATGAACGTTGTACCTTACACATGAGATGTTCTGCGGTTCATGACATGGCATCTCGAAACATCAGGAAAGCAAGAATCTTTGCCAGCACAGCTTCCCCATAGGTGCCAGCATAGGCGTGCCATCGCGAATTGCAAAGAAAGGTCCGTGCCGCGTGTACGGAACTTTGACCCCCATGGCACGGAATGCATCCACGAGACAATTGTCTCGATAAGGGACACTGCCTCACAGACCCATGAAGGGTGATACTCAGACACCATTAATGGCAAGTAACTCAGGGCGCTACATGCCGGAGGATGCATGGGCACTGACGATCTCGTCTTCGCCGACCGGCTCGCATCCCTGCACATTATATGAAATCCTACTGACATACACACTGGAAACCGCCGCAGGCGTTGTCCGCATGCCTGTAGTTCGAGACTGCGTCGTCAAATGTGTTGCTTTTCCTGTCCAGGCCGAAAGCTTTTCACGCAGGCATGACAGTTGACGGAGCAAGTACAGACTCTATACATCAGGCCTGCCAATGGCCTTGATTCTTTTGGGCCCCGGCTTCCTCACATGATGTTATTAAGCAACTCCAAACAGCAATGTTGCTTTCACAGCGCTCAACACGACACCTCCTGGAGGGCGGGCACTCCACCTTTACGTGACGTGTGCTGAACGTCTTTGCGCGGTCGACCATCTTGCTGATCAGCTCGTCGCCTTGTAACAACACCAGATCATTATCGGCTGATGTCGGCATGCTGACAGCATTGAAAGTTAGACACATTGCAAGCTCAGCCACACCACAATGGCGTTCCCAGACGATGACCGTTGTTGTAGATCAACGTGCTTTTTTGGCCGAAGTGTCGGCACGACGTCCCTCGAGTACGACTGCAGTGAAGGCATAAGGGAAAAGTGACGTGTTAAACGTGAAACAATGTAGAACCCTCATCGCTGAATGGCGAGCTGCACACGTGTCTGCCCAGCCAAGGATGGTGATGGAAGTCCTTGCGCTGTACACTCATTGGTTCCGACTTGCAGTCCTGCCGTGCGAATGATGTGCGTTCAGCAACTTACCAATGCGGCCTGGAGGCATTCAAGGTAATCTCGTCTGACCTTACGTCCAGGCGCTCCATCTGCTCGCCTGCAACGGAGCTGATCTGAGTATGCATGTTGACTGGTTTTCAGCGCGAGGGACCTTCACTGAAAGCAGGTTCATTCACAGCATATCGCGGCAACGCTGTCGCCGACTTCATCTCCACATTGACAGGGGTCCTGATGAGGGGAAGTCTCTCGAAACATAGCATATACTTGGATCTGTGCCATGTAGAAGCTGAGACAGTCACGATGTCGTTGGATCGTTCACACCAGTCTCATCCGACTCCATCGGCAACGTAGACCCAGCGGGATTGTTGCTACTTGGCAAAGCCCGCTCCTTCTCAGAAGGCCTGAGCAGCACATTGAATGAATCGCGCAAGTTTCGTAAAGCATCACTGGAGTACGACTGCAGGAGGCTGACGAACAATCAGCGCAACAAACTTCTAGACCGAATCAGTTCAATGAGCCAGGCCATCTGTGCCGAGATACTTCTGCATGCGCTTCTTGGTCTGGAGCGGGTTTTTGTTTTTCGTCTTGTTACCACGTAGATGCTCTGGCCTTCGGTAGAACCCTTCCGACCAGGGCCCGAGTCCCAGCTTGAAATGTTTGGGATCTGCATCCACGGGAACCTGGCGTTCGTACGATTTACGCTTCTTGCAGCGTCCTCCTGCGGCGGGAAGCAGGACGAGTGGCCTTCGACCTCGATGATATTTTCTCAAGGCCGGAATCTGCCCTGCATTCAAAGGAAGAAGCGATGCCCACTGCGTGGTTGAGTCGGCTTTGCGAAGCGGTTCAGCAAGTGCGTAGAGTTCGGGAAGCCCGACAATCGGCGGCCGGGGAAAGTACAGCCTGATCTTCGACATCAAACCTTGGGTCAGAATTCACAGTCAATACCTGACTGGCCTCATGTGTCTTGTCTATGTGGCAAAGTTACTCTCGTTCAGCAGACCGTTGTCCAAGTGCTTCGAAGTCCGGGGCAACATTAGTATGGCCGGACACCGACCTGGGAAAGATCAGCCTTGACAATGTAGTGCTTTTGCAGACAACTGAGTACATTAAGCTCCAGACCAAACGCCATGTTGCAGAAAATGGATCGTCCGTGCAGAAGATCCAGCATGATGGCTTCTCAATTCTCGCTAAACATGAGGCTCAAAACCCAAAGGGCTGCACATTCAGCATCAAGCAGAGAACACAGGCATGCAGGGTATGGATTCAGAGAAACATGTTGAAGCGCTGCAAGCCTTCAGCAGTGGTGTACATGACCCTGACGATGCTTTGTTCTTTACTGCATAGACACACGCCTCGTGGCAGTGTACTTGCTCCGACCGCCGCCCAATGCCTGGGCGTTTGTTTGCTTGTTGGTTACCCATTCGGAACTCATTGATAGAAACATCTCCAAGCATATTCAGAGTAGTCAATCTGTTTAGTCCACCTGAGGAGATGCGAGCCTGAAAACCTCATCAGCCTACAGGATATCTCACATATGATGGCAAGAGCACAGAAAGACTTGCTTGTCGTGTGAAAGATAGAGATAGCGTATGATAGCGTATAGCCTATGTTCAAGTCGAACAGGAAGTATGACATGTAAGGACTAATCCTGCGTGCCTTAGCAGGATGTGTCAGCAGGCTACGGGAAATCTGCTGGCTCCGCTACCAATGACAGGACCGCAACTCGGTGACATACTTCAGCAGCGCGTTCCGTTCGGCATCCCTGTTCACTGGTCTTTCAAACAGGCGCACGGAAACAACCCGGTGTGCCTGAGCAGGATGTGTCAGCAGGCTACGGGAGATCTGCTAGCTCCGCTACCAATGACGGGACCACAACTCGGCGACATACTCGCAGTAGCTTTCATTTTGGGGGCAAGGCTTCCAAAATGACAGCTGCTGCTGTCGATTTGGGGCAGGGCCTCCAAAATCACGTCTGCTGCTTTCACTTTGGCGGCAAGGCTTCCAAAATGACAGCTGCTGCTGTCGCTTAGGGGCAGGGCCTCCAAAATCACGTCTGCTGCTTTCACTTTGGGGCAGGGCTTCCAAAATCACGTCTGCTGCTTTCACTTTGGCGGCAAGGCTTCCAAAATCACATCTGCTGCTGTCGCTTACGGGCAGGGCTTCCAAAATCACGTCTGCTGCTGTCGCTTAGGGGCAGGGCTTCCAAAATCACGTCTGCTGCTTTCACTTTGGGGCAAGGCTTCCAAAATCACGTCTGCTGCTTCCACTTTGGGGCAGGGCTTCCAAAATCACGTCTGCTGCTTTCACTTGGGGGAAGGACCTCAAGCACGTCTAGCCTCAATGCCGGTAAAGCTTTGGAGAAGTTTCCTGGATGCTCTTTTGATCCGGTGCCGAGCGAAAGCATGGTCAGCATGCATACTCCGCAATCTCTGTGCACAGCGTCTGCTTCTGAGAGCTTGCTTTCTTGGCAGCGGTTAGAAATCGCTGCATGAGCCGCACAACACCCTGCTTGCGACAGTGTTTCCAGCAATGTTGACGAGCCTCACATACAAGATGCCCCATCTCGGGAAGAGTGATCGACGATCCCCAAAGTTTCCTGAAAAATCTTCGGTTGTTCAGCTCCCCTCTCAACATTTCAAGTTCTTGCGTGCTCATAACATCAGAGCCCGCATGAACACCTGTTCCCAACGATGCTTCCGGCAACTCCACCAATGACTCTCCCAGGCGATGAAAAGCATCAGTCAAGACTTGCAATCTAGCAAAGGCACCTGCTGAGCATCTCTCCTTCAGCATGCTATCCGTTAACTTGCGCTTGTATTTCCGCAACGTTGGAAGGGCCTTCCACTCCTTGTACTCGCCACACCACCGCTCGTGCTTTCGGACATGCTGCTTCTTGGCACTGTAGCCGTACACCCTGTAAGGCAACCTGGATGCAGGCACTGGCGACGAGGGCAGAAAACCTGGTCTTCTGAAACGAGCAGATATTACGCAGATTGCCCGGCAGCGAAAGGATTCCTTCACGAAAGCATTTATGCCAGCCTGGTCGTCAGAGGCACGGACAGACGTTGAAGCAGCTAAGGCTTGGTACATCTTGTCATCCTTCTTGGAGGCATTCCCCCAGGGCTGTAACTGACGTTTCTTCTGCTTCAGCCTGCGGCAGATCTCGTGCATCACAACTTCATCTTTAGATGAAGTCTGCATCATCAGTGCTTTGGCGAGACCTTGGCGTGAGAGCCTAGTAGCTCGAGCTTTCTGGACAAGCTTGCGCACTTTGGTGTACGACTGAAGCAAGTCCGCCAAGACTGTCCGCCGGCCCTTTGCCGAGCGAAGACGCTGCGTCCTTGCCACGCAAGCTCGGACCACGGCTCGCCGCCGCACAGGGTCTTGATATGGCATCTGTCAAGAGCGAGATGCTACTGGTTCCAGTACTGAGTAGGACACGACACATGCGTGAGGGTTTGTAGTTGATATATTTTTTGTGTGCTCACCTCACAGAGCTTGAAAATAATGGTGGTCGCCAATTTAGATGTTGTTCAAGACGTAGCCGTACCAGCGTTCCAGATCCCTTGCAAACTCACACTCGCGCTTCCTCTTTTGGCGCCAGTCGCAGACTGTCAACGGTCTGTGCAAGAAAGATGGCTCGAATGCTCTAGGATCGTAAGCTGAGTTCTAGCTTCCTAGCAGAATATCGAGCTTGGACGCTCGTTCTTGAGCCACGATGTTGGCGGTGCACTCAATAGGAAGACAGTTTGGCTGCAGCTTTCTGCGACGCAAGTAAGCTGTGTTACTGCTTCCGTAACTGTCCAAAAGTTAGGTCAGCTACGTCATCGCTCATAGCTTTAATTATGAATCGTGACGTGACACCAACGACTTGTACGAGGCATCGAGGACTGTTCGCAACACACAAGATTGTCTGGAGACCGTTCTTTCATGATGATGATGATGACGATGATGATGTGAGATGAAAGAATCGGCACTTTACCTGCGCTCATGTTCCGCAAACATACGTATGACCGTGTGAAGCTGTAGAGCAGTACTGAGTAAGGTCTGGAGATCTTGGCGAAAGCTTCTAGACAGCGTACCGTCGGGATTATATGAAATTCATGATCCTTCAATCCAATATCTTGAATATCTCACTGGTTAAAAGA